AATACTTATACTAATGAACATCATATAGTTTTGTACCACTTATATCCCTGATGATGACATTGAGAGAAGATAGAAAGTTCTTGGGAAATGAAAACAACAAATTGAGCATCTATATTACATTTCTTGCATGCTTTAACAGAAATACACGGAAAGTTATTCGTGGGTATGAAAGGATGTTATTAAAAATGAGCAGACTGTCTGAATTTTTTTCAATCATACATGTCTAATTGAGAATTTGCTGCCTGAATGCACCAATTAATATATATATATATATATATATATAATTATTTATTTAAAAATATGATTCCAACTCGCGACATAAGAGGTCTCATGTTTCAAAACAAGAGCCGAAAATTCAATATAATTATTTGAATTAAATTGAGTTAAATTAAGCTCTGTTCCATCATCAAGCGAATTTTTTTTTGGAATACCGTATTTCTGAAATTTACGTGTTTTAATAATTGAAATCAAAATTTCCATGGTAACAGCTAGGGCGAATTGTTTAAATTGGGTAGGCCTGTGTTGGGTGTTAATAATAAGTATCAGTATAGAGTTACTTTCCTAGATGTCAAGTCAGGGAAAGGTGGGGGTGTCTAAATTTTGAACGGAAGAAGTATAACTCTAGTCTGGTTTGCGTGTCTATGGAGATTTATTTTTTTTTTATGAAAAGGATTTGTGCATATAAAAAATTTATATATATATATATATATATATATATATATATATATATATATATATATATAATGTTTCTGTTCCTAATTCTTCCACAGCGAGTATCCGTTTCTGTCTTGGTAGCTTTACAGCTTTGGATGTGGTGAGATGAGATACTTAGGCAGCATATACTAAAATTGCTTATATTTTTATAAGTATATTTACAAATACATAAAGATTAGCTATTAAATCTATCCTTTTTTAACATACATTGCTCATAGGATGGAAAAATAAACAACACATAGAGATATTTCGGAGTGTTCACCTTCTGTGCCAAAATTGCCAATACCAATCAGTCCATAGTACTGCCACCTCCCAACATTGAGCGATGCCAGTTTCATCCTGCATGAATACAGAAAACAATAGACCTATATACGTACAAAACTATATAATAAATGCCACATATAAATAGTTTCCTCTTATGAATGATGTTCATTTAATATATATATATATATATATATATATATATATATATATATATATATATATATATATATATATATATATATATATGTGTGTGTGTGTGTGTGTGTGTGTGTATATATATTTGTATATGTGAAGAATAATATACAGAAAAAACAAACAAAAATATTAATATGCAATTATGCTGTATTAATGCTAATATAATGTCAACGTCGGACGTTTCGGTCTATTTTAGACCATCATCAGGACATATTCATAAAACATAATAAACATTAAAACATATTCAAATTCAACATGAAAAAGACGAGGGATATAAGGGCACGACTAATCCAAACAGATAATTGAAATTTATATATAAAATCAGCGTTCCGTTTAAATATGATCACGTCGTCGTCACGTGGGCGATGTTGTTAAAACGTATTCGAAGATGATTTCAAAATATTAAATAAGCTCGATTGAACTATTTTCTCATATAAACAGTTCGTTAAGAAATCCTTTCCGTTCTTATTTTCATACAAGCTTGAAGTCTTTCATGTTATAAAGTAAATCAAAAATGATTTCAAAATATTAGATAAGCTCGATGGAAAAATTTTCTCATATAAACATTGTATATATATATGGGCATATATATTTATGTATATATATATATATATATATATATATATATATATATATATATATATATTAAAATGAATCATTCATATAACGTAAATTAGCAAAGTTAATGATACAAAATGGCGAAATCCCTTCGCAAACAAAATTATAAAGATTTGTTGACATACTAATCAATCGATGAATGTTATGGTCCTTGATGTTTAAAATTATAATCTGTATTACGCCTTTCTTAAGTATGTAACATTCATCGAATGATTGGTAGGTTAACCCATCTTTAAAATATACAAATATAGTTTTAAGGTGTGCTATATTTATGGGATAAAGTGCTCCATATCAGAGACAGATTATATCTAAATCTAAACAATCTAGTGAACATTGAAGTCAACACTCCAGAGGCGACAGGCTGGTTCATGCTGGATGCAATTGTCGGCCTGACCATTGCGTCTAGCATGAAACAGCCTGTCGCCTCTCATTATTGACTTCAATGTTCATAATATATATATATATATATATATATATATATATATATATATATATATTGTTATGGGAACTTAACTATAACGATAATGGAGTCTTCTTGACACTATAAAAACTGCGCCTCTCAAGAGGTATAATGAATGAACGGTGTCACCAGCACCAGTTCATGATTGTTGTACTTTCTGCTTTGGCAGAGAGGAACCCGGACGAAGCTTTGTCGAAGGGCAAGGTTTCGTTCGGGGAGGTAGACAGGCCCTGAACCCGTCTATGCGGGTTCAAAGACAGTATTTTTACGGGCTGGAGAAACTCACTTTAACCTCGGCCTTGCGCCACATATATTCCTCGTGGGTGGGATATTAAATACAAAGAATGGTGTAACGAGTCGAGACAATATTAGTTCACTCTATACCAGACGGACCGTCATTACTAACTACTTCAACTTCTTGTACTATATTTCTGTTGTAATATATATTTGTTATTCTACTCGTGTTATCCAGTTGTTCTTCTTTTGTTCTAAAATTGGTCCATAACTGTGGTGCGAGGATATTGAACTATAACACACACACACACACACACACACACACACACACACACACACACACACACACACACACATATATATATATATATATATATATATTAATTGAATGTATATACGTGTGTGTGTTTGTGTGTATTTATGTATGTATGTATACACATATACCAAAATCACATACCTAATACAATCAAGGCTCTCCAGAATTTCTGAAAAGAACTCCACTCCTGGAATGAAGAGGTATTACTGAGGGTCTCAAAAAGTTTGCAAATTCAAGTGTGTATGTGTCAGTCTCAAGATGATCATCTATTAAAATTAGGTGCCACAGTCCCCTCGATGTTGTCTCAAAACATCTTTAATGATCAGGAGGCAGACTGAGTTCTTTGGCGAAAGAATTATTCTGCTCCTTCTCTCTTTCTCGTATGTATTGTGGAAGATCTCATCAACCAGACCACTGTCAGCGCATGAAATTTGAGCCACTTCTATGTTATCAACAGCAACATTAAGAGCTTGTGGAAGCTGCTGATATTCCACTGCCAAATTGCAAGAGCCATGCTGCATATTGCATTTGATCCGCTATTGTCTTTATGTATTGGCTTAATCTCTATTGAATAAAAATCAGCACTAGAAGAGAATTTTAATACAGATTTCAATGATTGCCTCACGACTTATCTAGGCCATATGTGTAGTGCCTGATTAAAGTCTTCCCCACAAGAGCACAACTTACTGCCAAAACAGCAATGCCACTGATATCTCGTAAAGCTTTATAATTAGCATGATGAGCAAATGAAGTGATTATCGAAACATCATCCATAATGATCAAATCTAGGCTTCTTAAATAATTTTCATGGTTTCAGGTGGCTGGTATATTCCAAACGCTAGCACCGTAATTAGGACAAAAAATATTGTAAAAACTAAGGATTGTCGTTCCACCTGACAGTAGTGTAGAATCAATATCCTTCGCATATAATAAATTATGGTATTTGGTATTCCGGTTCCTTGTACCACGGTGATGGTCCAGGGTAGAACCAATAAAGAACTCGAACACAGGTATGGAATAACACAGATATATTACAAACAGTAATATATACAAAGAAGTAGAAAGTGTTTGTACGAAAAATCAAGTTTAGTAGAGAGATCAATGTAGTCTCGACCAGTATCACTATTCCAATGTCTTGTAGTAATTGTTTCGGACTGCCTCTGACTCGACTGACTGACTCGCTCGCTCTGACTGACTGACAGACTCCTGACGGACTTCTGACAAACCTCTCTCCAGACTTCAGACTGAACGATATTCAGTCACCCTCCCACGAGGGTGTCATGTGGCACAATGTCTTTTTAACGTGGGAACTCCGAGCCCTTGGGCTCGGCCAAAAATATGTCCGTGTAAACGGGTTCAGGGTCGGTCTACCTCCCCGAACGTGCATCCGCCCTTCGGCGTAGCCTCCTTCTGGTTCCTCCACGCCCGAAGGCAGAGAGTTCAACCGATCAGCCGATCAGCCGGAACTCCTACTTCGGACTGAAGTCTCTGCTTCCTCTTGAGGCGCAGTATTTATTACGTATGGAATAGTCCATTATGTTATTATGGGTAAGGTCCCTTAACAGTGTTTAACATATGTTTTACTACAAACTCCTTGTTGCATCTACATAGAAACATAAGTGGTTGGTCATCTCACCTCTCCTCTTCTTATCTACAGATTCAAGCACAACATTAGCAGTCGGTCTCTGTTCATCAGTAGATATTGTAATGCCTTGATGACTGAGGTCTTTCTAATGGTCAAGCTGAGGCACTCTAATAGGTTCAGGCAGCCCAATTACTAAACAATCAATTTCTATCAGAATCTCATCAATTGAGTGCAGTGTCATGTTATATGCATGGTCAGCATTAAAGACTTGGTGCAAGAAATCATCAACCATGGATTCCTTGTGCGTGCTCCACAGGTGAAATGAATTTCCAGGGTTCATATACGTACACAGGGTAGAAAATATTACACGCAACCCTAAGGCCATCCAACAGGCAGCAGCCTCTAACAATGCATGTTACATTCTGTCATCGTTTTATAGAATACTATAACATGTCGCCTTAAATTTTGGCAAGATTTCTCATACAGTGCGCAAATCTTGGAAGTACACGGCGCTTGGAATATACAGCAGCAACATTTCCAAGTGATTTTTTCTGTGTTTCTAGGGCTCACTGTATACATTCTACTGATGATATTAATATTCCCTTGCTTGGTGTCTATGTTCTAGTATGCTTCTTAAACATATAATGCAGCAAGATGTCGGGGAACAAGTGGTTCCTTCCATCATCATCATGGTCATTCAGTTTTAACCATGCAATAAGGATAGTGTTATGTTCCTTCTGTGCCGGAGCATTTTGCTGAGCGTTGCCTCTGGGAAAGTAAACTCTTTGCTGGTCTTCAAGATGTACAGAAAGTCTGTAGATATTGTGAGATGTGTTATGTAGATTGTACTTTTCACATACATTCCGGGGGAGAAACATATCACCAAGGAAGTTAATTAGTAATTTGATGGCGAGCTACATTCTGCTCACAATCTTTCGCTGGAGTTTCTTTTACTTCAACAGAAGCACAGTCATGTAACTTGGACACGTACTTGAAGATATATTTAATGCTTTTCACTAATGAACAAATTTCTACATTAATGTCAGCTCTGTACTATTTAAGTAAATAGAAATAGTACGGCACAAGGTTCAAGTTATCAACGGAGTGACGTCCAACTTGAACAATGAGTCCAGTATTGCGTCTTCTGTACTCTGTTTAAACTTTCAAATTCAAATATGTTATTTCTCTGTAGTTCTTTGGCAATTTCTTTTCACACGAGCCATTTTCCATGCAAGGAGAAGAAGCATTATCTGTTCCCCAACGGCCATGTATCACGCATTTTTTTTTTACTAAACCATGCAAGAATAGAATATCATTGGCATCAGGTATTTCAGCTGTCACGATCTTATGTATAGCAAAGTAATAAAGGTAGTTACTGGTTCTTTAGGATTTATCATATATATATATATATATATATATATATATATATATATATATATATATATATATATATATATAAAATAAGTCCTAAAGTACCAGGAAGTACATTTCATATATATATATATATATATATATATATATATATATATATATATATATATATAAATATAGATAACTAGACTCGTTTCAAAAAACCCTCGAATTTTTGATTTGCTAATCAAATCAATCTCGAGGGAAAAAAGGTTTTAAAAAAAGAAAGAGCTACAAACATGGACTTCTGCCGACAAAAAATCGCACAGATGCAGGTCTGAAGCCCAAAGAAAAAAAACCCGATACGAGTAACAACTAACTAACAAAAGAGCTCAATACAACCGTAGAGCAGACTTAGATATTTAGTGAGTTAGACAAACCTAATAGGTTTTCACCTAAGCGGATCGTCAGGAAAGCCGGCCTTCACTTACGATCCGCTTAGGTGAAACCTTGGTAAATTTGTCTGGCTCTTTTTCCTGACGATCCGCTTAGGTGAAACCTGGTTAGGTTTATCTGGGTCACTAGGTTTATATATATATATATATATATATATATATATATATATATATATATATATATATATATATTTGATTTAGAAAAACAGTTTAAAACAAAAATCATGTATCGTTACATATTGTTGATGAATGCTTAGTGCTTTGTTCGTAAATTCTCTTCCATGTTCTCTCTCGACTCCTCAAGAGCATCTTTGCTTGATTTTCGCACCCAAGGAAAAATCTGGGAAAAAGAGAACTAGAAACATCAGAACAGGGAGAAATAATTCGTCCAATGCCTTACATTCTCAGTCCAAATAAAAAAAATAAACAAGCGAGTAACTATGAAAAAACGTAGCCGTCACAAACTTATGAATGTCGTCACTGTTTCTGAGTTTGTCCTCATTTCTGAACACTACCAACATGTGGCAGTGTGGCAAGCCTCTCCTCTGAAACTTGAGCCACTGGCAACTAAATCTGTCCTATTTTCAGGTGTTTTCATTTTTGCTTTATATTATCAATTATCTGAGGTTACTTTGGATTGCAAGTGTAAGTGATGAACAAATCTGGCTTACCATATTTTTAAACAATTGACATGGCATCCTGAAAATATTGAGGCATATTGCTTAGACTGCCTGGGAATGAGGAAAGCAATCTCACTGGCACACCTGGTTCGTCCTCCTTCCTTATCATCTGCATGTAGAGCCCAATTCTATCGCGAGCGGCTTCCAGTTTTTCTTGCAGTTTCATAATGAATGCATTTTATAAGCAAAAATGTAAGTACCTCTACATTTTCGCGATAACTAAGATTTAAAATGAATTTTATAAATAGAAACTTATTCTTGAGATTCCCATTTTATCTTTAATTGAAAGCTAAAGGATTAAACTGACCACTTCCAGTAAACATAATAGTCTAGTGTATTCCAAATAGAACAGATAGTGATTTGAATCGATTGTTTTTGGTTGCTCGTAAAATCGGCCATTTTTGAATTCCAAATAGAAATTTAATATGAAAGAAAAGTTAAAATAAAGATTATTTTTTCTAGAAGTAGGTTCTAATTAGTTAAGTGAAATTAATTAATTGAAATAGGACGCGAAATGAAATAAAATAAATACATAAAATAAAAATACTTATTGAAACTGGAATGAAAAATATAAAATTTATTTGAAATTTTGAAGGGATGTTTTTCAAAGCCTTTTGAGAAGACGATGAAACACAGCAAGGAACAATGAAAGAATGTCAGTCCCCAAAAGTTGAGTGGTGTTTTCCCAGAACGAGGAAGACAACCCTTAAAACACGTGACCTTTTAGCGATAATGTCATTTAGAGGCCACTATAAAAAAAAATCTGAAACCAATTTAATTTTTCGAAATTTCATGAAATTAAGTAATTAAATAATTTAATTCATTTCTGAACAAGTTCCGAAAGATTTATTAAAATCCGACAATTTTTGATTTTTGCAAGAATTTTCAAATCAATGTGTTTTCCGTCTGAAAAATAGGCACAAAAACACTAACGCAAATATAACCCGGGTCGCCGACTTGAGAAAAAAAAGTTAACCAAAATTTCAAACGTCCTAGAAAGGATTAAAAGATTAATAAAATAATAATAATAAAATAATTTGGTCTTTCCTCTTAATAATAGAAATTATTTTGACGATACATTTTTTTAAAATTAATTTTGTTTTTTTTTCATCATGCTATGATATATATATATATATATATATATATATATATATATATATATATATATAAATTTCGCTTGAAGATGGAACAGAGCTTATTTTAACTCAATTTAATTTAAATAATTATATTGAAGTTTTCGGCTCTTGTTTTGAAACATGAGACTTCTTATGTAGCGTTTTGGAATCATATTTTTAAATAAATAATTATATTTATGCTCTACTTTTGTATCGAGTACTATTTTTTTAAAATAATAACTAAAATACTAAGGGACTTTGGATTATTTACCGAACCAGTTCCTTCCTATTTTCTATAGATTTTCACACACACAGACACACACACACACACATATATATATATATGAAGCGCAAATACCCATCCTGGGCATGAAGATAAACTACATCCGTGTCCTGGGTAAGACGATAAACTACGTCCAACAGCAAGGCCTCTGACCAGGAGGTTCTGAGGCACGTGGAACCACCTCTTAATTGCTAGTGTTCCGAGGTCCACCCTGACCCGAGGTGGTAGCACCTTTTAGGGTCTTAACTATGGGTAAATAGTTAACCCCCGAACTGGGGTCAAAACACTGAAAGTGTAAAAATGGTTTTTAATATCAGAAATATTTTGTTAAAAAATAAAATTACCAGCAATACGTTATTATCAACAATATATTTTAGGCAAAAAAAAAAAAGTTACCAGCAATAGTTCTTTTAAAAAAAACATCAGTAAAATAGATTTTCTTTGAAGGAAAAATATAACTAGCAATAAATTTTTGAAAAAAAAAAAAATATTGCCACCAATAAAAATTTTGTCGGCATTAAATAACCCATTGAGGTTGATATGCCGTAAAACAAAACAAACCAATATGCACTGAGATAGATAGATAGATAGATAGATAGATAGATAGATAGATAGATAGATATATAAATAGATAGATAGATAGATAGATATTAGCAGCAATAAAAATCTTGTCGGCATTAAATAACCCATTGAGGTTGATATGCCGTAAAACCAAACAAACAAACAATTTGTTAAAAATAGGCATCCTCTAACTGTTTTAGGTCGGGCGAGGTTGAGGGATTTTCTTTGAAAATATCCGGCATTCCCAGGTCCACCCTGACCCGGCATTTGTTGACGGAAAGAATAAGATGGAGTGGATGAAGGTGTTTCGTTGAAAGTCGCCGACAGTGAGACACCGAATACAGATCAATACTGAATAGAGTAACGGACAGACGGACGAAGTAAGTAACTAATTAAGGAAGCAACGTACATAATTATAATAAGATACCTTGAAAACTTCACAAAAGTTGCACGTCAAATCATATCGAGAAATGCTGCTGCCTTTGTAGAAGCATAAGAAGACCTTTTCAATAGGCCTTTTTATGATTACCCAGGAATCCCACAGCTATGAAAGAAATGCATCATTTCGTAAAAGAAACACGCTTTTCGACTTGAACAAGACCCTGAACGCCATTGAAGAGATTGGTTTCCTTAACAATTAATATACAAACTCCACAAAACACTTTTTTGTACAGAGCACACAGAAGAATATGCACCAAGCATCGCAAATATGATTAAAATACTGATGTTCACGTAAAAGTTGCACAAGTCTTCGATTCTATTCTGGGTCGCAGCCATATTTTCGGACAGAAATATCTACTTCCAAACTGTCGCTTATTATATAATACGTCTTGAGAAGATTTAAAATAAGTACAAAAAACTTATAATAAAAACTAACAAAAAGATGATATTTCTTCTTTTTTTTTAGGTCGCAATTACCCGATTAAAAGAAAAATCTAATTAGAAAATCTAATCTTGCATTGGAAAATTTTTCTTATCTATAAACATACTTTTAAAATACGTAATTTCAAACATTTTTTTTTTATTTGCCGGGAACATTTCAGAATGGAAACGTACAGAATAAATAAGAATGCTGGTGTCTTTGCGGTGAAACATATTCATGAGATTATGAAAGAATCGATAATGTATTCTATAAATCATTCGATGAATCAGTATGAATAATCTGCTTCA